CGCGCTCAAATAACTACCAGGAGGGTTGGATGGGGGATTCCGCCATGTCAATGATGTCGGGACCACATGGGGCGCGGGGGCCCGCCCACTGCCGTAAACCACCGAGTACGACCGCCTGCACAAAGGCTTGCTCGCCAGAGCTGCCGGGGTCTCGGCCGCTCACCCCTGCGCAGCTCAGTGGAGCCCGCTTCTAGTCCAACCGAGCGAAAGTCTGGGGCCTGGGGATTGAGGAAGTCCTGTCGTGCGAGGGCTTCTGCGTCAGAACGCCAGTCTAAGTGCAGTGTTGGTTCCGTGATCACGAGAGCTCGGGCTCGAATGGCATTGCTTCGTTCACAGATGTATGGATTGCCCTTCGTCTTTAGCTACCTTTTGAGCAGGTTTGTCAATCCCTCGACCATTTCCTACAGCACTTCATCCCTACTGCTACCACAACAGATTTTGTGCACAGATTTTATTACCCCAGGTTTAAAAAGTCCACCTCCTGCTGCACTCACAGGGACTGAAATTGTGCCTTACATCTACAGCTCTGCTGAACAGCGCTGTATGCATGCTCCACAGTAGTCAGATAATAGTTCGGCTTATAGAAGTTAAATAAAATTAAAATGTGCCTGTTGTACAGACTCAAAAAAGTTAACAGACTGTACCCCTCTTCAACCCCCCTCAAATTATTCAGGAGAAAAAAGCAGAACTTTTCCCCAGGGAGACTCCATCCTGTCATAGCTGCCCAGGTGTTCTGAATAACTAACTACATTCAGCCTCCTAGGCTTGTGAGCTCTAACGCAGTACTCAGTAGCGACCAGAGGCTGCGCAGGAGAGAGCTTTGTTTCCAAAAGTTCATGGGTGGGAAATGGCATTATCTGTTCATTGTTTATCCACGAATTTTCTAAGCTCTCTTCTATTACATTTTATTAGCCCAGAAAATCATCATAACCCTTTACGAGATAAAAATCCATTGTACATAACCAAGTTGCCGTCGAACTGACACACACTCCTACCCTGCCCATGTGGATCAGACTAGAACTTTGCTCCAACTATTATCAGTGGTTGAGTTTTCAGAAGGAAATCGCCAAGCCTTTCTGTTTTGGGAGGAGCCCTGGTGGCGGACCTGGGCCTGCTAACCCGGACACTCCTTTAACTGTAACCTTTGCAGGAGAAACAGGAGGCTTTCTGCTCCTTTAAAGATGTGCACCCTCAGAAACCCACAAGGGCAGTTCTGCCCTGTCCAGAGTCGCACTCTGAGTGAACTTAAGCTCCAGCTTTTCAGCTAGCAGTC